TATATATATATATATATATATATATATATATATATATTAAAAAAGAGAGGATTGGCTTGTTTTTCATTGGTTTTTTAGGTCAATTGAAAGTTTTTAAAGTGTTTCCATCAATGGGATGAGGTTTCATGGGAAAACCTAGTGGGTTGAGAACTGGTAAATAAAAGCCTGAAACAAATAATAAATAAATAAAAACAAATGCTTTTTTGCACTACAGCTTCCAGCTCTCCCAAGAAATTGTTAACCATAAACCACATCCTTTGTAGAATTTTCCTATTTTGTTTACATACGAGGAAACGTGTCCATGGAAAGACTTATATAAGTTGAAAAAGGGTATGAGGCGAGTCCAGAGGTCATGATTTTTTAATTTGTATATGAGCTTTTATGACTGTATTTTAATGGTTTTATAGCATTGTAGTTTAACTGTGGGTTTATGTGTTTTTAATTGTGTTTTGTATTTTAACATGCTGTACCCCACCTTGAGGGTTGTTGTTGTTGTTATTATTATTATTATTATTATTATTTTACACCTGTAAACCTCCCAGGTTTTCAACTTGCTATTCCCATCTTTTTTTTTATTTTGTGGAAAAATCTGTTAAAGAAGAAAAGGGAAGAAAATTGTGCAGTGTTTAATGGGCAATTATGACAGGCCTGGGACCAGAAGTTACAAGAACTGCCAAAAAGTGCCAAGAAACAAAACAAAACAGAAACTGGAAGTGGTTAGAAATTTACTTCTGGTTTGGAAAAATGTTTTTTCTTCTAAAATGTTAAACAGTTGTGGATGGAAGGCTACTTATTTAAATGGTAAATTGTAAGAGGTACGAGAAAGGGTGGTCTGGTTAGGGTTGTCAGCTTTTCAAAATAGCAATAAGGGAAACAAGCTACACGACTTACAAGGTTGATGGTCAGCAGCTCTTAATATGGTGTGCTCTGTCTAAAAACCAAATAAAAGTTAACTTAGCCATATCTTTTTTCCCCCCATTAGATTAATGCTGTCTACATTCTCATCAACATAAATGGCATGATGTGCAAATTTCTGCTTTTATGGAAATCCAGATTTAATATGTATTAAAACTCTCAGCAGAATTTTTAATATGTATTAAAACTGAATCCATTGTAATCGTATCAAAAAACCATCTGCCAACTGTAGCCTCTTGGCTTAACCTACCCCATAGGGGTGTTGTTAGAATAAAAAGTGTCTAAAATCTATGCCAAAGAGAGATTGTACTGTATCCCTGATGCTCAGGAGAAAACTTTAAGAGGAAGAGAAGGGGATGAGAGACACAATGACTAACAACAACAACAACAACAACAACAAAATTTATTTTTATCCCGCCCCTCTGCAGCACAATCAGGGTGGCTTACACATTAAAAATATCCAATACAACAATTCCCTAACCCACCCTGCCCTTAAAAAAGTATTAAACTAGTCAATTTTTAAAACACAAGATACAATACAATAAAATCAAATCATACAAAGAGCGGGTTAAGTGGTTTGATGGCAGCTCTGGGGGCTGGGGGCTGAATCCTAGGCTGACCTGTTTTAGTGGCAAGCTTCAGGTATGCTTGCTTATTCATCCTCTTTTCTTAAAGGGCTTTAATCTCAACTATAGGATTCGTGATGTCTTGTCCACATAAAGTACAAGCTTTCTAGCCATCAAATAAGGGACACTTGATAACCCTATAAAGAACTTGGTTTCAGGCCCTCAAATAAGGCCCTCATCCTTACAGTAGAGCAACCTAGAGCAATAAAAAATGGCAACCCAGTGTCTCCTTTTTAATTCATTTTACAGGAACCTTCATGTAGAAGGATCCCTGGTCCAGTAGCATCAGGGATGGTTTCAGGCAATAGAGGAAGTTCTAGATAAGGGATATACAGAATCGTCATTTCACCCACTAGTTTTTAAAGTATTCCCCCCCACTCCACAACAGACTTTGGATTTTCTTAATTAATTCATCTTGTCATGCTGAGGAAGGCCTGTGTAGTTTAGTTGTTGAGCACAGTGGCCTCTCATGTGATTCTTTTTTTATTATTAATTTTTTTTAGTACATTCATTAAAGAACTGTAGTATGACTTGTGATGATGAGAGCAGGTTGAATAAGACATAATGTAAATGTGCAGGGATTATTGGGACTGCTGTCTATTTTGGGATTCAAGCATACAGCAAAGCCTGTGGCTGAGCATTAGCATTGCCCTGTCTTAATTAACACCGTTGCTTGTCTCTGGGGGTAGCAGCAGAAGCAGCAAGAGAGGAAAGAGAAATCTTAAAGATAAATGTAGCAGCACTGATGCCGTCTGGGTGAGGTATGGCTTGGGAAATGGAGCAATCAGACAGCATGTACCAACCAGCCCCACATCTGTAATTTGATTGTAAATTGTTGATTGGCATGAAAATGAATGAGGCAAGCAAAAGTATCCAATTTTGCATAGGCTCCTGGAGCTCTCAATACTGCAGTCTTTAAGCAAAGTTATGCAAATGTCAGATTTGGACTTATTTTTGTATAAGTGATTTGATGGCTGCTAGGACTCCAAAGAATATCTGCTACCAGGGTGCATTCTTACTGGTCTAAAGGAGGGGGTCCATCTCTCTGTGTGGGCTGCTTCATAGTGGAAGGGGAGGACAGTGGAGAAGTTTTATAACTGTCAGATTACTTACCCTGGCTTCAAATTATATCAACTGCAAACTATACATTGATTAGGGAAGACTACCATCTAGTGACTGATTATGGCACCACAAGCTTCAAACTTACAGCCGTCCTTTCTTATCCACGTGGGAACCCAATGCAGATAACCAAAAATGCAGGACCTCAAGTTTCATTCTTTGTTATGGCCATGCAGCCATGTTAGAGGCTTTGTGCACACACCTCCATTTAAAACAACCAGGCTTGCCATCCACAGAAGCTCAAATCTGCAGATGCCAAGCCCACCGATAAGATAAGTCAACTGTATAAACACATTAAAAGCAATTAAAAATAATTAATGTCTTTTAAAAAATGAAATACTTAAAAAAATGAAATGTATCCCCTAAACACAATAGGCAATTCTGAGAACTACAGTCTCAAAAGTAATCACCTGTTTCCTTCATGGAATTTCGAGGGAAGTCCAAATGCCAGGTTCTGTTTATAATGCTCCCAAATTTTCCCACTGTTTCTTCCATCTATTTTTCTTTCATAGAACAATCCATTAAGGAAGGAAAGATGAGATATATGTATAATCTTTTGGTGCATCCATCTAGGGTACACTTGGTATTTACCTAAACTTTCATGGGTCAAGGTTCAGGTCTAAGACCCCACATTGTATGTGCAGCATAATGCTTTGCATATACAACTTTCAACCATTCTCCATTCTGACAACTGTCAAACCTGGAGGGAGGGACTGTTGTGGATATACACTGGCTAGGGGGAGTGAGGGAGATGACCAAGAAGTGGCCTAAGTCATCTGCAAGAAAATGAGCTCATTGTTCATCCAGCCTTGCTTCTTCTCTTCTTGGCCACAACTGCAGCTGGGATGAGCTACTTCTTGGTAGCCTGAGTTGCCTTGGTATCCTTGGTCAGGAAATGGCCCCAACAGCATCCCCTAGGTCTTTTGCACATCATCCCAAAGAAGACATACACATGTGTAACCATGAATTATACATGTGTATGACACCAACTTGGTGTCAGCACTCAGTCAAGGATACCACAGCCTGAGTCTGCAAGACTTGAACAAGGCTATTGATCAGGGGTAGTCAACCTTTCCCCTTTAAGGGCCAAGGGACTTCAGCTCCCAGAAGCCTCAGCCATGTTGGCCAATAGTCCCATGTTGGCCAATAGCTACTGGAATTCTTGGAGCTGAAGTCCCTTGGCCCTTAAAGGGGAAAAGTTGCCTACCCCTGCTATTGATAATAGGGTGACTTGGAGGTCTGTCATTCATAGGTTCACCATAAGTCAGAGCTGACTTGATATAAGATAATAACAATGTCACCAACAAGATTCCAGGCATGACTGCCTTTTAAGTCTGCTCTTGAAAGGCGATTCACATTCATTCTTATAACAAGTCCCGTCTAGATTCTGAGTAATTCTACACTTGCTTCAACAATATAATAGGATCATGGGTATGAACAACATAGCATATACATTCTACTAGGGAAACTTTTAAAGATGTCATCTTTTAATTGCATATATAGCATCTCTGTGAGCCCAGCATCTCTAGGCTCATAGAATCTTGGACAGCAAGCAGGGAAAGTTCTCTGCCTGTAACTGTGCAGAGTCACCAACAGAATACACCAGTGGTTGAATACAACCTGAGGCCTTCCAGACATTGTTGGATTGCAATTCCCATTATCTCTCAAAACTGTCTTTGCTGGCTGGTTTTATTTTATTTTTATTTTTTTGGAAAATACAGTCCAAAACATTCAAGGTAGATCTAAGTTGGGGCTGTGTCACATAAATCTTTGCATGCTGTTTGTCCGTGAAAGCTGCCAACAGCATGGCTGATAAGAACAATGTCTGTCGCAAACACACAAACACAGATGCAAG